GAGCTCCGTGACGGAGCATTTAAGCCAATTGGCATGGTGGGCATTCAAGTCACCAAACACAAATATATTTGCAAATGGGTGTATGGAGATGACTTTGTCAGAAATAATATCAAGCACACAACGATCATGAGAAGAAGGGAAACAGTAGAGAAAGAAGAGATAGCTGACCGAGTTTAGTAGAGAGTGATGGAGACACATGTAAGAATTATCTGGAGATTCAAGAGAGGATTCCCAAGCCAGCTGGTGATGTTCACAGACATAAACTCCCAAGCCTTGCATATGGACTTTAGAGTCCTTCCAAAGGAAGGAAGACAGCTAGGGATCAAAAAAATCAAAGGAGAGAGTTAAGATTAGTTTTGCAGAGAACTTGATGTCCAGAGAATTCTTGAAAAAGAATGATTCCACACTGCCAAGGTTGGTACGAATACCACAAATGTTGGAGAGAGAAAGGTTGAGGGGTTTATTGAGCTGGTTTAGTTTTATATCTTATAGTCATGGTGTGTTATTTTGGTAAGGAAAAGCTTAGCATAGTAGTAACAGTCTAATGTAACGTGTGCAGGAAGGGAACTGGTGCAGACTGCAACATAGTGTGACCTCAGGGTTGCCCACCAAAGATGCTTGAAAGATCACACTTCTATGTGTGACATGGCACTGCAAGATCACCAATATTATGTGACTAATGAGCAGAGCAGCCCTTCAAGATGCTGAACAAGAGTTTGAGCTAATAACTACCAGTCAGGAAGCAGCAGCCAGAAAACTGCCAACCCTCACTCGGTATGAAGAAACATTGCCACCATCCATAAATATCACAGAAAATTCATGACAGCACCACTATTAAGGACTAAGAAAAGGAAAGGAACTGGGAACCCATTCCTAAACAGGAAACAAGGGATGAGCCTCAACTTCTGTTCAAGAGAAGGGGTGTAGTATGGACCAGGCAATAGGAAAGCCTATCCACTGTCGGAGTTAACTCCTCCTTCAGTTCGTAACCCTTTCAACAGGGGTTGCTCTTCACTGCTATAAATAGCCGCTGACCCTTCGCCTCTTTCTCTTTTTCCCTCAGGCCTGTGCGCCGAATTTTAAGGTAAATCTCTTTTTCCTCAGGCTTACCACCTCAAAAAATGTGAACGCTCACCAGAGATAGCGTTTCCCCAAAATACTTGGAACACGTAACACACACACACACACACACACACACACACACACAAACGCACATATATAATATTCACACACTTTGTCCTTTGTAACTGTTTCTATGTAACCTGTTATTAATATATATATTTGTATACATATATTATCGGTCTTGTGTTTTGTTTGTTTTCTTTGCATTCTTTGGACTTAATTAAAAGTCTGAACCCACATATTTCTTCTACTTCTACTCAACAACATTACAGCCATGGTCCGCTACACTACTATTAAAGCCTATCAAATCCTATTAATATATCTATATCTATATATATATATATATATATATATATATATATAAAAGAAATATAATGTAGTGGTTCCAACGAGAAAAGTATATATATTAAAAAGAAGAGAAGAGAGGTGCATAAATGTTTTTGGTTGTAATGTGGATTTATTTAGAAAAAAATATTATGCTTTCTTTTACATAATTTTTACGACACGTGTTTCTGGTCTGGAAAAACCATCTTCAGGTAAAAGTGGAGATTTCCACATATTATTAAAAATAATTAATTTTTCCTCATGTCCAATGTTAAATATTCTCGATAAATAAAAACAAAAACCCAACACTTAATAATATTAACTAAGACACAATATCTTGACCATGTTTTGAAAAATGAAAACATTTTATAAAACATGCATACAACAAACTATTTCTTATTTAATAGTTAAAATATTTAATCCTTGAAAATGGTTAAATGTATAGCCGAAAGCACTCAGATAAAAAGAACATTTGGACAGTTTTTATATAATTTATCATCTGAAAAGAAAAAATTATTAGATTGCGTGAGAAATTGTATAAAAACTAAATAAAAGCATCTTGTCTGTCATATTCAATGAAATATGCATGAAAGAACGATTGCTGCCTAAATACACACACACACATATATATATATATATATACACGCACACACACAAAAATGTCTATGAAAAAAGATATATTTTTTGTTTTTTATTTGATTGATATATGGGAGCAGCAAAATGTTTTTTGTGAATCAGAAAATTTTCAGTTGCTCCTATGACTTTCATTTGTGCTTGGTACTGTTATACTGCTTCAAATTAGATATTTCTGATTCACTCTAAATCAAAACCTGTTTGCTTGATATAAATGCTAAGAAAGCAAACGTAAAAAGAAAAACGTTGTTTTGGGGCTCTGAGCATCACACTCATGTCTTAATACAAATTTCCTCCCCGTCCAAAAAAAAAAATACAATGTAAAATAGCCAATCAGGAATGCAAAAAAAGTAAAGGTAAAGCAAAATTATGACAAAAAAAATGCTGAGTCATGATCCATCCAATCAGCTTTTAAGAATGCCTCTCATGATACTGAAGACAGTTGCATACCAGCAAGTAGGCTGCCACCAGTGATCTCGGTCAACTAATCAGATACAAGTATCAATTCCCGACCCTGCCAACTCTCACCATCCTCTATGTTACTTCCCTTGCTCACAAAGAAACATGCTGCCTTCATCCTCTCTATACCAAGATTTCCTTTAACAATTGTCTTCTTGCCTCACTCGTGGTACTCATTGTTTCATTTGTTCTCTCATGCTACCATATACATATTTATAACAATACTGAATGGTATTTGTTGTTGCTTCTTGTTTTTACTGGGATAAATTTAAAATTCAGGTAATTTTAATGAGCCCAGTTTGAGAAACAACAATTCTTTGGCTATGGCATTTGATAAATTATTGCATCTTCCCCATTTTTTCTTTATCTCTCTACATTTGGTTGTCTTTCATCCTGGACAGAGGACACTTATTTTAATATAAGGAGTATACATGGATATTTAATATATATATATATATTAGTCATTTAACCCCAAGTAAAGTAATAAGTGTCACTAGAATGCAGGGGATTACTGAGAGAGAAAGTAACAGAGTATACAAATAAAAGAACAGGATACTGGGAGATAGATGATTAACATTTTTGAAGATCAAAGTTGACTTGAAAGAAGCCAGAAGACAGTTCCACAGGCAAGAAGTTTCAAGAGAAGTAACAATCAGCATAAAACTCACAGTTGTAACTAGCAATTTAAACAATGAAATATGAGACCTAGTTACCAATCCAGCAGTTTGATTAAATTCATGAAGTCATCGTACCTATAAGGAAAACTTATCATTTTAAGAAAAAAAAATGCAATCACTTATACTATGTGCTATGCCCCCTCAGGACATTGGTGATTATGGGTCTCCATAATTTTCTTTTCCTTGTAGCTCTTAGTAAATTTTGTCTTTTTGCTATCTCTCCTAAATTCTGTTCTACTAATAATTTACACAAGCTCATTAGGTAATTAATAACATTCCGCTGTCTCTTTTGCATTCAACATGTCCTCTGAATGTCAAATTTTCCAAGCCCCCTTTCCTCATTATGTGTTTTAGAAATTTCAACTATCATTTCCTAATGTTAAATTTAAAAGTCCTTTTTTGTTTCCATTTTCTCTAAAACATTGTCATTGCTCACATGTTCAGTCCTTGGTGTTTTCAGCATCCTCCTGTAGAACCACATTTCTGTTGTTGTTCATCATCTGTGATGAGATTGTCCAGCATTCACTGGATTAATTCAGACAAGAGAAACAATGAAAACAATTAGAATTTTTCCTGGTTTCTGTCTAAAGAAAATGTTTCATTATATATGACATAAAATGGGTGATCAGTTTAGAAGAATACAAATAACAAAATATCAGGCGCCATCCTATGACCAGCTTAAATTTAATCAGCTAAGCTGATGTTTTAGAGCTTCTAATATAACCAGACTATGGGATCTCTAATTGTATGTAACATTATTTAGTTTTTGTTAATAATAACGTTCTATCCGGATTGATGACAGTCAAAAACAAGCCAAAGATATAGACATGAAAAAAATTGGCAAATTAAGTTAGATCATTCTTAATTTTTCATGAAGATAATTCCAAGTGGCAAGTTGAAAGAAAAATTTGATAAGTAAATTTAGTGATTCTGAATTGGTGGAAGAAAATAAAACGAGAGAGAAAATTAAAAATCCAAACAAATTCTTTCATTTACTGGTTGATGAAGAGATTTTTGGATAAAAATGATAAACACTGCATAAAATATTAAAAAAAAAAGAAAAAAAAAATGAAACTAAATTCACTTATTAAAATTGTACACAAATTATTCATGATGGAGAAATCTGACGGAGCTGTTTGTCTGCAAATATTCATACTGTTTAGTTTTTACATTACTTTATAGTTGTTGTTGTTGCTGCTTTTAAGCTTTTGCTAATTGAACATAATTTGTCATTATCAAAGAATGTGTGGCTGACAAAAAGTAAAATAAAAAAAAAAAAAAAACCAACCCAAACCTCCCTGAGTCATTATGATAAAAAGGTTGATTGGTTTTGTAGATAAAGAATCTGGGAAAAATATTTTCTAATTATTATAAAAGAAAATAAAAAGAAATAGATTTTTTTTTTAGGCTGAGGGGAAAAAAATGAACTCAGAAGTAAAGATGATTTCCTATGGGGGAAAATAGCATGAAAAATTCATTCCTTTTTTATTTTTTTCCTAGTGCCAATGCATCTCTGTCATTTTACTATAAGGTCTCGGCATAAAACAAAAAATGCATTTAGGCACACACATACTTATATAAATGTGTTGGCAGATATTTGTATGTGTGTGTTTAAACGAATATACACATGATATTATATTTACAGGAGATAAGAAAGTGACAAAATATGTTTGTGTAGGTGTGTAGAAAAAAATATATATATATATATATATATATATAAACAATTATTACATAGCATATATAAAATATACACTTTTATAATTAGTTTCTCTATATGTGTGTCATTTATATATGAACATTTGTGAAAGTTTGTATACATAGAGAGATAGATATGAACAGGCAATATATATGAGAATAGATAGAAGCAATGCTAAATAAATATGAGAAGGGATAGATAGATAGATAGATAGATAGATAGATAGAAGCAATGATAAATAAATATGAGAAGTGAGATAAATAAATATAAGAAGAGATAGAGAGATAGAAGCAATGATAAATAAATATTAGGATAGATAGAGAGATAGATAGAAGCAATGATAAATAAATATTAGGATAGATAGAAGCAATGATAAATAAATGAGAAGGGACAGATAGATAGAAGCAATAATAAATATGAGAAAAGATAGAAGCAATAATAAATATGAGGATAGATAGATAGATAGATAGATAGATAGATAGAAGCAATGATAGATGAATAAATATGAACAGAGATAGATGTTGGGGGAGGTAAAGAGCTATATAAGGACAAATTATGAATAGAGTGATATGAGAGAGAGAGAGAGAGGGAGATAAAGAAAGATGAATAGAGAGAATTGACTGAAATAAGAGAAACCAAGAAATACATTTCTACTGCAGCATTGTCAACATCCATAGATTACTATAGATTCAATGAAAGAGACTGAAATAAATAGTGTTTGAGATAGACAGACCAGACGGAGAGATATAAGTTGGCATAAATTCATGAGAATGAATAGATGAATAAATTCTGAAAGTAAACACAGAGAAAAATATGCATGTCTGTTTATCCAAAATGTGAATGTGTGTGTGTGTGTGTGTGTGTTTAAAGAAGACAATAAAAGGTTAAAATAAGAATTTGATCTCAATCTCATGAACAAAGAGACTTGGAAACAAATCTTTATCCATCTTGAACTGAGTGAAATTGAGGAATATGAAACTGGGCCAATTGAATTTATATATATATATATATATATATATATATATATATGTGAAAAAGAAGTTGAAAATGCAATTGGAGTCTTTAATAATATTTATTTAGCATAAATTTACTGGTTTCACAGTTCTATGATTGTCAGAAGTTAAACTGAAATTGAGAGATGTGTGGCTATATATATATATATATATATATATTTTAAGACATTTTTATGTTTATACAATCTTTTCATAGATACAAATATTTAAGTAAATGCTCTGTTTTCTAATAAACAGTATTATAACATTTACCGACCTGAATGACGGTTCCGTATAGGATGCAGGTTCACTTACTGTTGGAGAACAAATATCTTCTATGCAAATTTCTTGGACATTCAGGCCAGTAAATGTTATAATAGTGTTTATTATAAAACAGAGCATTTACTTAAATATTTGTATCTATAAAAAGAATGTATAAACATAAAAATGTCTTAAAATAATTATCGGACTTTGTCCATTTCATTTATATATATATATATATATATATATATATATATATATATATATAGAAGAAATATAGTCTTAAGGTGTGCTATATTTATGGGATAAAGTGCTCAATATCAGAGATAGACCGTGTGTAAATATAAAAGTGAACATTGAAGTCAACACTTAGAGGTGACAATCTGTTTCATGCTAGATGCAATCGTCGTCGCCTGATGATTGCATCTAGCATGAAACAGATTGTCACCTCTAAGCATTGACTTCTATGTTCACTTTTATTTATATATATATATATATATATATATATATATTACCAATTTGTGACTGGTAGGGATAATTCCAAGGAGCATATTAATTCAGAGAGAGCTCAATGTAAACTACAGAGCATAATAATAATAATAACAATAAATCAATAAGAAAACCTTAAAAATCCATTTCAGCTATAATTTATTTCAAGAATATTTCTATATTCATCTCTTCCATTTATGAAGAACTTTCTGTCTAAAGAGATGAATTTAGAAATATTCACAAAATAAATTATAATCAAAATGGCTCTTTAAGTTTTTCTTCTATAAGAAGAATATATATCAGTATATATATATATATATATATATATATATATATATAAGACATAAAATAATTGGAACGCCAACCTTTCTGCTACCTTGGTTTCTACCAATCAGACATCATCAGGCAGTAGAAATTTACTTGGTTTTTAGTCAACTTTCATCTTCAAAAATTTAAATGCAATGTCAATTGTTATCTCCTGTCTTCTTAATTATTGTACTTGCTCCTTAATGCTGTTTTTTTTTCTTATATCTACATTCGGTAACCACCTATGTCATAATGGCTTTATTGCCTTGCTTGGGGTGAAATGATTAAATATTCATGTTTTAATTAATATATATATATATATATATATATATATATATATATAGCAGTAGAGCCCGGCGTTGCCCGGGGATGTAACAGTAAGAGATAGATCAAGTATCGACCATCATAAAGACTGAAAATTAAAATTGACAAAGATTATTGTTTAAGGTTGACAAACACACATGTCTTAATTAGTTTTTTTTTTCTTTTTTACGAATTGGTCAAACCCAAACTGAAACAAAAACATTGTTTTCAATTGTTATGAGTCTACCGATTGAATAGAATTTTATTATAAACAATTGTCTTGTAAATGGAATTTTTAAAGCATTCTGAATGTAAAAATAAAGAAAAAAGTGTGCAAGACAATAAGGAACACTATCTGCCAAAAAAAAGTAAAGTTTTGTTGAAATTGGTTGAAAAATGTATGAAATCCGATCCCATATATAAACGAACACACACACACACACAAACAACCTGGGTTTTATAATAAATATAACTCGATATGAGTTGTCCCCCTTCCATTCTCGTGACAGCGATGCCTCTTAATCGTGTTGTCAAATTGATTTTGTGCAAAAACAATTGTGTTTTTCCAATTTTTGGTGTTGTCAGAACCACGGCAAGGTAATTTTACGTAGTCCTGTGAAGTTTCGTTGAAATCGGTTGAAAAATGTAGGAAATGCAATCCAATATATAAACGTACAGACACACACACACACACAATCTGTGTTTTATAATAAGTAAGATATATAATTAATAAACAATAAAATCCAAAATTACCTCATATGGGGAATAGCCAATTTCAGACAAATATATTGGTCATCTGTATTATTAACCTTGGTGCAGACTGATTTCATGTTCATATGGTGGGGTGAGCAGGAAGTAGAATTTAACTGTGAAAGCTAAAAAACAGCCCCAGTCAAAAACTAATACAGAATTTATCCATTTCAATGTTTCAGTCAAATGAAAGTCACACTTATATTCTCTTATATATATATATATATATATATATATATATATATATATATATATATTCAAACAACAATAAATAAAATGCAGTTATGAACCTAATATAATTACTAATTAACATCCCAATAAGATAACACCAAGCAAAGTAAAAAACACAATATTAACAACTAAATAAGAAAAACAAAAAAATGGGCAAGTGAAGACATAGTATCTGGAATTTCATGAGCATAATTCTAAACTTTAACAAATGATAGAAAATCTGACAGAAGCATGAAGTCTCACTCGAATAGCAAAAGATGCCTTCCAAAAGTTAAACAAAGTATTAAGAAACAGGAAAATTTCATTAGAAACAAAAAAGTGCTGAACTGTTATGTAATATCAATCCTCCTATATGGTGGTTTCCTCTTTAGTGTCCATATTGGACACTGAAGAAGAAACTTGAGACAACAGAGATGTGTTTTTACAGATAAAAGCAGAGAATACCATGAATGGAGCATGTAAGCAATGAGGATGTGTTAAGCAAAATGAAAACAAAACGGATAAGAAAAGAGAATAAAGAATTTTATGCAACAGATGAACTGAGAGGGATAGTAATGGGGCAAACATTGTTTAGGGAGGTAAACGTTAGGAAATTGTGGAGAGCTATGATCCTGAAGAAACATGGCACATAAAAGAAGAGAATAGTACAGCAGAGAGTCAAATAAGAGGAAACATCAGTTGGAAGATTGTGTTGCATCAGCCTTTACAGTAATTTATTTAGTAAGCTTTATTTAGTACAACATAGGGCCAAAATTAAGGAAATGGAAACAGGAAGATTATGTAGCATCAGGGTAGATTATATCAAAAAAGATCCACTCATTAGTTGTGCCAGTTCAGAACTTTATAGCTAGACTCACCATAGTATATCCACAGAGTCAAATCACTTATATTTCCTCCATATTCCAATTGTAAGGAGGAAGTACCATGCAGAATGCTTCCTTCCAAGAACTGCAATTTTGTGGAACAAACTTTAATCTTAACCTCTTTAGGTTAAAGGTTATTCTCTATCTATCCTACTTATCCTCATGATCTTTACATTCTCGCTCCTCTTATATTCACATCACACACTTCATTCAGTAACTCTCTACCATGAGTGGCTCTTGAGTCTTGTAGTGGGTGAATAATGATTTTCTTTGTTTACTGAAAAATGTCATAATCTCTTCTGCTTCTCTGTTTTGAATTCCTGTTTCCTTTACAACTCTTCTGTTTCTTCATCATAATCAATAGGAATGAATTTGAATGCTAGATTCTTTGACTGCCAATAAATAAATAAAAATGACTGATTTTATCAAATTAAAGAGAATTGTTTGATTATATCAAAAAGAAGAAAGAAATAAGAGATCCACTTGGACAGACTGATCACATTTAGAAAAGAATGTAATATACGTCCATGCTTTAAATATTGCTGCCACATATGGCCTGGTGTGCTTACTATATATTTAGAGATTCTTGGTAAATCCAAAGAAGAATCAACAATATTATTAATCCTGACCTGGCATCTCAGCTTCAGTCACTTTCTCTCCAATGTAATGTAGCTTACCTGTGTCTGTTTTATAATTACTTCCATGGTAATTTTTTGAAGGAACTCTCTGCTATGGTACATAGACTTTATGAATTTAAGTGCAGTACTAGATTGGTGGTAAGGTCTCATTAATTTAAAGTTTAACTGGCTAGATGTAACATTAAGTTCTATGCTAACATATTCTTTTCTTGCACTTCTTACTTGTGAAATTCTCTTCCAGTTACATGGTTTCCAGCCAACACCGATCTTCAAAAATTTAAATGCAATGTCAATTATTTTCTGTCTTCTTGATTACTTTTCTTCTATTGTCCTCACTCCTTAATAATGTTTCTCTTTTTTCTTATTCTTTCACACTCAGTAACCCATTGTGTCTTAGTGACTTTGTTGCCTTGCTTGGGGTGAAATGATTAAAACAATTATATATACAGCTGTAACATTTTGTTGTCTTTTACAGAAAAAAATATCAGCCTACCTTGTTAGTCAAAATGTTCCCATGTTGTGTTCTGTTTTTGAAAAAAAAAGACATTCCAGCAGAAGGTCAGCGAATATGCAAATGTGATTCACTTCTGGTCAATTGTAAGTATTGTGAGTTGAGTAGACAACTTTAAAAATATAATTTTTTTCTGCTACAAGGCAGTAGTAACCTTCCTTTTTTGTTGTATAAGAGCAAGTGTCATTGCTGACACTGTGGTTTGAAACTAGATTGCCAATGAGCAACACAGATGATTCCATTATTAAGTAGATCACATGATCATAAAGGAAGTGAATAAATATGAAGTAGCGTTACGTTCACTGTTCACTCTTCTTGTCTATCCCCTATTACTATACGTTCACTTTCTCTACTACTATATAGAGTACGATTCTCTTCTGATCATTATACTATTTGGCAATTACTTCTTGAACAAGTATTAC